GACACAAACAACACCAGGGAAAGAAACCTCTTCTGCTGCATGTTCATTAATTCAGCTGTCACTGATCAAAAATATAAGACTGAAAAGTACACCTGCTGGGGATACTCTGGCAATGCTCAAGTCAGAGCCAGGCCTCAGCTCCTCCTGTTCTGCTAGTTCCAGGGGTCTGGTGCGACGCTGCTAGACCAGCCAGCCTTTCCTTCCAGCAGAAACACGGTTGCTCCCCACCCTCTCTTCTGGAGACCCATCAAGATGTGGGGGGGAAGAAAAGTTTACTTTTCTTTGCTCAGAAGCCCTAAGCTGGGGGAGGACTGCCCTGTAGAGGCTGAGAACTTCCTAACAATTCCCAGTCACATGAGCAGCCACTCCCCAGCTGTACACCTGCTCATACTGGAGTCCACTTTCCTATCTAAAAAGTGCCCGTGTAGTGCAGCAAAGCACAGAATTTACTGGAACCAATAAGGGGCACTAAATTAACTAAAAGGCTGCACAGCTGTGCCTTGCATGGCAGGCGCCTGTGGCAGAGGGGACATCCCCATGTCCTTTCTCTAGTTCCCTCAGGCATGTCTCATTTTGCCATAACTTGTGTGTTCAAACCGCCCATCCGGAAGTCTTCTGAGATGCAGAGACCAGCCTCCCTTGGGGCCTGCACAGCAGTGCTCAGACCCACGGATCCACAGGGGTTCAACTTGGTTTCGGTGGGATTTTATCTCCAAGAAACTTAAATCACCTACCAAATGGGCCTCTAGAAATGTCTCTGGAGAAACCCCAAAGCTTACGGACCACACACCACACACCACACACATGGACATGCGCACCAGAGGCAGGTGATGGGCAGAGCATCACTCACACCTGCACACTGAGAGCACGTGGCAGAAGCTGAACCAGACCTATTTCCACCAAAAGGACACTACCCAGGCTCGGTCACAAGCTTCTGAACTCATTTGGAACTCTTAACAAAGGAGAAGATTTTCTTTTTCTTTTTTTTAAAGAACACTTTTACTCTTGACACCAAAGGGCATATTTCTTTTCCTGGTGTGACTAAGTTGCTTTATGGATTTTTATATCATTCCCCATACTAAATAATTCACTTATTGTTTCATTTCTACAGGTAAAAATTGGAGATTCTGTGATCATACTAGTCAAGGATATGAACAAATATCTTTTGTACAAATTGCTTAATTAAAACAACTAAAATTCCTTTCCTGGAATAAATCCATTAAGATCAACTCACTTATTGTAATCTAAGCAGGGCTCAAATCGATGGCAGATAACCCCAGGCACATGGTGGAGGTTTAACATGAACCCAGGTAACTGGTAGCACTGACCCCTCTGACAGCCTTTTAGCTGGCGATGGGCAGTATCTGCCTCCTGCCAGCACTGGATTTGCTATGCTGAAAAACAACACAGATATTTGACCTTTGCCACACTGTAGAAACTTTCAACATAGTGCTGGTGTTTCTTCAGCAAGAAGACTTTGACACTAACATATCCGAAAGGATTAAGAATCCCCAAAGGAGAGGAAAGAAACCGTATCTGATTTAAAATATCCAAGGAGAGAAACATACCCTGGCCTGGCCACACTCGCAAGGGAAAGTCAGGCTTCACTAATCTCAACCTTGGTGGGAGCCCAAGGTCTTGACAAACTGAGCCCTCCCTGGCACACTAGACTTTAGCAAAGTTCCAGTACACCCCCCAGTGAGCACATGACCCTCAGTGCATTCCTTGAAATAGCGGCAGGATGACTGAGCTACTGACAGTCAACCGAAGGTCTCAATACAGAAGCAGAGCCAGTGGGTCCCAGCGGCAGGTGGTGGGTGGTTAAGTGACTTCGCTAAAATCAACTAAGATCACATCCTTAACCAAGAGATGCAAACAGGGACTAGAAACTAGCTCCCCTTCCTTTCCAGTGCCCCCTCCCCCATACCCACTGCCCTGTAAAACACAGGGAATCAGCATCATTTTGTGGCTTCACATTTCCCATCCTAAAAGCACCCTTGCACCTACAGAATTTAGTTAACAGAAGAACCTGCAACAGGCCACGGAGGGGACTGAAGCATCCGGGGGAATGGTCAGGATCCAGCCCATGGCAGTGCTCCTGTGAGCCAGGGCACGCTCACTTGACGACCTAGCAAGCCCACAAGTCACAGGGCCCAGGCCAAAAGCATATGTATTGCGGAGCTGAGACCGGGGGCAGTGAGCACATGACCAGGAGTGCTGCGACCAGGGGCAGTCCAGGAGTGAGAACCCAGCTCCCCTGACAGCACTCAGCGTTAAAGAAAGCCCTTGGGGGTCTGAGGATTTGGAACTAAAGCTTTTTGCCTCAAGCTTCTAGTGGTTTCTGATGTGGAATTCCTGCTCTAGCAGAGTTCTCTCCAACATGGATACAAAATCCAGAACCAGGTAAAAGAAAAAGAATCAAAAGAATGAGCAACACAAGAGTGAATGCGAAGGTAAACTACAGACTCTGGATGATGACGGGGACATATGTCCTCTGCTGGTGGGGGAGCTGCTAACAGGGGAGGCTGCACGTGCATCAGGGCAGGTGGCAGAGGGGAATCTCTGTACCCTCTGCTCAGTTTTGCTGTGAAGCTAAAACTGCTCTAAAAAATAAAGTCTCCTTTTAAAAAGCAGACTGTACACCTTAATTCTGGTGACACGTTAGTAACAGATAACAGATTCCAGTTGATAATTCCTATGCCTAGAAAAAATAGTCTCAGAATGATGAAACTGAAAAGAATTTTTTAAAGCTTCATGTAACTATGTCGAGCAAAGGGGAATGAAGAGATTTCGATACTCACACAGTAGTATGCACTGTATACAAGGCTGGGCGGAGAAATGGAAGAGTGTGACAAAGCAACTGGAAAGGCCTCTCTGGCCAGGATGTCCAAACCAGGGGCAGGGGCAAAGATCAGGCTGCTGATATTCTCTGTTCAATAAATATCTTATTCCACATGACTTGCCATGACAGTGTGTATGTGGTGTTGCTTCCCTTGTGTGTCTGGCCAGCCCTGGTTTAAACATCAAGGAAACCGTGAACATCTGAGGACACAGCAGTGCTGACACCCTTTGGTTTTCCCAAGGGCCAGCTACTCTCT